ATATTTGGCTGCAGATACCACAAGTGATACCTAAGTTCATTATCTTTCAACCACAAGTTTAATAGCGACCTTCAAAACATCCTTTGGAAAAAGAATAACAAAACAAAAATCTTTCTCTGCTAGCACACATTGAAGGCTTAATTTCCTGTGAAAGTCCATTTAAAAGTATAATATAACTGAGGGGCCTAGATGATCCCCTGTTCCTTTGAATTGTGCTTCTGAGGTCCAGGGCTGGACTAAAGACAACAACAGCAAACTAAGTGATCAACTGCCTTCTGCTTGGCTTCCTGATTGCATGCAATTCCTCCATTGAGTTCTCAACATATTATTGTTTCACGTCTTTCTAGCCATCTTCAGAAAAGCAGATAGAAAGTTTTTCTACATAATGCTCACAGAGCAACCGTTCAATGAAAGATGGACAGAGGAAACACCTGTAGATCTCACTGAATCTCACCATAGGATACTGAACCTTGCAGGATCTGAAGACAACTTCCTCTGCCTACATGTAATAGAGGCTTAGTGTGAACATGGGGTGGTGGTTTGTGGGGAGGGGGCATTGCTGAGTCTCACTTTCCCCTATTTTCAGCCCACAGAGATTTGCTGGTCTTAGGAAAAGGCAGTGGTTCAAGAGTCACAAGGTATTTTGTCTATTTCAGTCTACCACTAAGTACACAAACTTGGGACAGTTGTATTTCTATGCCTCTGATACTCCATCTTTAAACTGTGCTGGCACTAGCTTTCCTTCCCTCACTCAGAAGAATGAATAACATGGTAAATGGTGGTGGGGGGACGGAGTAAGTGTTCTTAGAAAGAATGATGCTCTATCAACTAAAGCTTGTTTTCTTCCTTTGAATTCCAAAAGGTGTCAGTTTCCTTTAGGAGTCCAAAGAATAGGACTTGGCAAATGACACATCACCTATTCCCAGGGCGTGCTCCTTCCCTGTCCTGTGGCTTTGGGTTAGTCTGAGTGATTTGGTTAAAATTACCTACAGCCTAACTGGAGAGAAGGGAACTCTTTTTCACAAGGGAGAGACAGCAAATTCACCTTTTACTCTTATCCCAGTGTACTTTCCACCATAGGCAGCCTTCTGGACATGCTACCTATTCCCTGTGTTTTCTGTAACTGAGTGGAATGAGGACTCACTTGGGCCAAAGGAGAAGAATAGAAACTGTGTCTCCCTCCCCTATCCCAGGAGGCTGGTTCCTCCCCGTATAGAGAGGAGAAGTTTACCAGTGACATCCTCACTCAGGAAACTCCACAAGGAAGAGGACATGATATACATGGAGTGAGGAAAGCAAACTTCTCCTAAGTCCAGTCCCTAAAAGTGTCAGTTACTAAAAACTATGGGTAGCATTGTCAATCATTCACTCACTCACTCATTCAGGAATCCCATACTGAGAATATTCCACTTGCCAGGCACTATCCTAAATGCTCTTCAACCATTATCTTATGGCATCTTCACAAACAGCACCTGTCTATGGGAGAGTATTATTATCTCAGCTTCAGATGAGGAACTGAGGCATAGAAAGGTTAAGGAACTTGCCCCAAATCACAAAACTGTAATATCTGGATTATTATTTTGATGGCAATGCATAACCACTAAAGGATTTTAAGCATGAGATTGACCAGGTCAGATATGCCCTTTAGAAAGATGACTCTGGGTTGAAGAGGGTAAGACCAGAAGCAGTGAGACCAATGAGGAAGCAATTCCACTTATCTGAGAGAAAGAAGGGCAGCCTGACTACTGAAAGGTAAGGCTCACACGGTTTGGAGAAGTGGACAGATTACAGAAATGTCTGGGATGTAGAATAAACTAGAGTTGGTGAGCTCGGGCTATACTGCAGCTGCCTTAAAAAGGACAGCTCCTTGATTTCTGAGCCCAATAACTCAAAAATTGCATGACCCTTCACAGTTAAAAATTCATCTTCATAGATATTGTTGCATCTGCTCCTCACAAAATTACAAAATAGTTTTTTTGTTGTTTTTCTTTTTTCTTTTTTTTTTTCCACTTCCCATTTGCAGGTGAAGATGCTAAGGCTTAGGGAGGAGATGGCTAGAACCAAAATTTAAACTTTGGTCATAGACACTAAAGCCAATGCAGATTTTTGTTTCGTTTTGTTTTGTATTTTAACCTGACTCCCTTGGGAAAGTATCAGGAAGGAAAAGAAAAAAGAGAACAGTGGATATGACTATTCAAGTTTTTATTAAGCACCTACTATGTACACAGTACTGTTCTCTACCATGTGTGCACTGACTGTGTGGTGGAGGGGGTGGGGAGAAGGGAGTACATGGGGCATGAGATATACAAAAGGTGGGAAAAGAACAGTTTCACTTCAGGCTGTCTAATATTATAGCTAAATTCAGGAACATCTAGCCAGCAGGCTGTCTCAGGCATCAATCTATATGCAGCATTTAGTCATCACTAACAATTAACCAAAATGAAGAAAATGGTATGCGCTAAAACCTTTTTCTGGGAGAGAATTGAAAAGAAGTCTTTGATAAGCTGCTTGGAGTGGGAGGTGAAACTCCCAGGGGAAATGATGGAGCAATCGCAGATGGTCCCCAAACTCCCTTCAAAGAAAGATGAGTGCAATTAATATGTTTTCTTGCAGGAAGCATGCAAACTTAGGGCCAGAGCTGATTCGCAGGGGAAATGAGAGACAAAGCTAAGTCTAGACCCTGGTGGTCCTTCCTCCTCATCCTTCCCCCACACACCTCCCAGCCTTTCTCTAATTAAATGTTGAACATATATTTTTAAAAGAGGCAGCAAATCATGAGGCTGGCTCCCACAGTGATGTCTCTGTCCAGCTCTATTTATAATGCAATGTAATTGAAAATTATAAAAAAGAAGCAGGTAAGAAAGACTCTGTGGCTTTTCTACCTGACTACAAATGGGGAAGAAGAGAAAAAAGTCCACTTAGAGGTACCCCAGCCTCATCTCTTTCTCCACAGGAAAGCAAAACCACAGAGAGCATTAAAATAAAGTGTGCTGTGTACAGATGCTTCCATTCTGCCTTTCTTTTAATGCCAATGATTAAAATGTGACTGTGGAGTCTCATTTTTATAAAAGGGAAAAAGGTGGAAGTGGTTGCGAGGGGATGCAGACAAAAGATTCAAACTTCCATTTTATTTTTCCAATTATAGCTGGATAAAAGAGAAACTGGACTAGAAAGACCAATTCAAAAATCACAGGCAGAAAATAGAAGCCAGGCCTGTGCTTGGAGTGTGATGTCACATTTGTCCACGCTTCTGGGGATAAATGTTAGCAGCCCTATCTTAGATCCAGCATCATATTTGGCACTTTCATTACACAAACATGACTTCATCAACTCTCAGCACCATATGCAAAGCACCCAAGAGAGCCAGGATGCTGTTGACTTGGATTCTCACTCCACCTGGTCACAGGAAACCCAAGGAATATAGTTCATGATCAAATGGCTTTCTGTTAAAAGAGAAGGCAATAATGTTGTGGGAATAATTACCACACCAGAAGGCCAGCTGAACTCGAACTAGGACTTTTAAACATGGGAAGGGAACTGTACAGGCTTTCATTTCATGGGAGAAAACGGCACTGAGTTAGATATCAAAGGAACTGTATTCATTTGAGGGATATGATTTTAATCAGCTTTTTAAAAAGTGCTTCTTAAGTGCTAGGCACTTAGAAATACATTATATCAGTAATTCTTGAAACAATTCTTTTCGAACAATACCAGTGACCTCACTTGGATCACAGCAAAGATCTACCCCAGGTCACACAGCTACTAAGAAGCTGACTTGGTAATCTAAGCCACTTCTATCTGACTCAAAATCTGGATCTTGAATCACAATATTGTATTCTCCCAAGTAATCTGAGCATCTTGTTCAACATCTACATCAAAAAAGATAAGAATTTCTACCTTGCCTAGCACTGAGATAACACTGAGAGTTACCATGTAGGCAAATCTGATAATATAAGGAAAAGGTCTTCGAAAAATGACAAAAGTTCTTGACAAATGAAATAGGCAGTTCACTTGTTGGCCTCCAACCACTCAGCTTTCTTCTCTCTCTAGGAGCAGCAAAAACCTGCTGCCCTATGTGATTTCATGAGACAAACTGTTCAGGGTGCTTTCTCACCTGCTATCTGGCAACCTGGTCAAGTGCTGGAGCTCCGTGCCCCTCCCAGCAGCTACAGCACTCAAGAGAGCAACCTAGGCCTATGCCATCAGCGGGGTCCACTGATGGGAAGAAAATACTCAAAGGGGTGAGAAAAGAAACAAAGCAAAGGGAAGTAGCCCCAGGCATAGTGAAAGGCAACTGTAACATTATATTGTAGAAAACCATATCCACTTTTTCCTTAGGCACAGGTGCTGGGATAGAGAAAAAAGAAAGCTGCCTGCAGAACCTCTTTACAAATCAAGAAAGGACTGCAGTGCATGTGTTTTAAATAAGCCTAGAAGTCCCATTATGCACATATACTGAAAATCAGACTTGGTGGAGCTTTTGAAGATGTGCTGCCCAGTCTAATTCAGGGCACATCCCATGGCATACTGTACCTTAGCCCCAGAGGCATAAGTGTGTTTTCATATATGCATGAAAATCTTTCCTAAGCCATTTAATTCACATTAATAAAAGAGTACATGGGGATAATTTAAATGCAGATGTCTTTGTAAAATTGGTCTCTTTTTCTGGAGATTAACAAACTGTGGCATTCCAGCTATTTGCAGCTGCAGGGCTTAGAATTCTGAAAGGAAGAGCTATGGCAGCAATGTGGGCTACAGATGGGAGGAAGCACACCTACCCAGGCCCTCTTCAAGAAACACTTCCCTTTATGTTAGTCTTGGGGCTATGGTTAAATGTGGAAGTGGGATGCAGCAGCTTTGTAAAATGTCTTTCTTCCACCCTCCCTCCCCACGATGACCTTGAAGCCCCTCACCCTCCCAGGGGATG